ACAGACAGTTACACACAGAGTTGCAGACAGTATTGTGGTGTTTGTGTACTTTGAGTTGTGTCTGTTTGAGCTGTGGACTTTGTTCAGTCCTCTCGAACGCAGCAGCTGATTAAACCAAAAGTTTAAAATATTTGTCAGAGTGATTGTTATACTTCATGTACTTCAATTACCACAGTAAAAGTACTTGATGTACATATAGAAAACTCTTGTAATGTAATTCTACATTATGTTAAAGTAAATTAAGAAAAAGTAGTGTGACCTAACATAAAAGTGAAGTAAATGTACCTCGATGTCAAAGTAAAGTAGTAGTACTTACCCAGGTACTTCTTCCAGAAGTTTTCCTGAAGGGAACAGATGAGACGCAATGAGCAGTGGTATGAGTGACATTCTACCTGTTTCTATGACGATGACGGACTGATAATTTGAAGAAGTGGAGTCGTACTGTTTTATCCGTCTGTTCGAACACCTCTCTGGCCTCTTCATGGTCGCACACTTCCTCCACACACTCTCTCTCCAGGTTTCCTACACAATCACACAATCACACAATCACACAACGATTCAACGAGATTACAGGAAAGAAGCGATAGAATCTAATCTCTGGTTTTAAAATCTACCTGCAGCCTCTGCTGTCGTCAATAACGAGAATTATACACGATGAGGTGCGTTACCTGGTTTCATCTCCTCAAACAGATGATTGGCTCGTCTGCTCCGGACCAGAACCTCAGAGGCTCGCTGGCTGTCGAGGAAAACTACAACAACAATCATCAGAACTTTTAGATTCCATTATATTATTAGTACATTTTAGTTCGCTAGTTTGATTTAGTTTATTTAACTGCAGGACAATATGATCATTATCTGAAGGAACAAATCACAGATTTTAGGAAACTAAAAGTCGCTCCACCGTTACATCAAAGTACTCCATTAAAAATAGTATCAGTACAATGTAACCAAAGTATCAAAAGTAAAAGTACCAATAGATTAAAAAAGGTTTCTAGGACAGATATACATTTATATGTTCTGTATTTTAATGTAGTAGTACTATGAAGGTTAACTATCATGTATCCAGTAGAGTTAGATTCACCAGTATTCATGCACAAGAAGTATTACCTCACAAATGTATTCAAGTTAAAGTACGTAAGTCAGTAAGAAATACATTCGACACTTGCTCTTTCTTTGCTTGAAAATACAAAGTAGAAATGGAATATACGTATATTAATAAAATGACCATTTCATAATACACAGATCATTTCATGTCGGTACCATCGTTAGCTCGGCAGCTGTGCAGTAGAAACAGCAGTAGAACAGCAGCTGGTTTCGAAACTGGTTCCACCATGATCCAAAGAGAACGTCAGAACCAGATCCAGCAGACACCTTGTCTCCGTCTCTCTATGTCTCTCTTGGGGAGTATTGACCAAAGGGTCAAAGTATGAGTCGCTCAGGATGATGAGTCGGACATGTTTAATATGAACGTGTTTACTTTGACGTCCAGCACAACCAGACTGTCCCTCCACAATAAAGCTCCAGAGAAATCAGAGTGAGCAGAACCTCCAGTAGAATCTTCATGATTTTAACTTTACTTCAGATTCACGGTCTATCACTGAGTTCACTTCAGCTGCTTTTATTCTGAAAGAACAGGAGCTGATCACAGTCACTTCAGCTGCTTTTATTCTGAAAGAACAGGAGCTGATCACAGTCACT